CTGTTTTGGCTATCTCAGCTTTCTTTTGAGAAAGTGTAATATCATGTTTTTTCATAATATAACAGAATTTCTCAAGATGTTCAATATGTTCATCAATATTATTTGAATGAATAAGTAAATCATCTACATATGCAATACAAAAATGAGTAATAGGTTTGATTACCTCATCCATTCTTCTTTGGAATATCTGTGGTGCATTTTTCAACCCAAATGACATTACATTCCATTCGTATTGTTCTAAAGGATTGGTGGTACTAAATGCAGTTAATGGTTTACTTTCTTCTGTAAGCATGATTTGCCAAAACCCTGACTTACAATCAAATTTTGAAAATATCTTTTTGTTCTGTACTTGTTTAATAAGGGTGTCCTTATTTGGTAAGTAATATCCATCAAATTTAGTAACTTCATTTAATTTTTTATAGTTTATCACCATTCTGGCTTTTCCTCTTTTTATTTCACTATGTTTTCTAACCATAAAGATTGGGCTGCTATGTGGGCTTTTACTAGGCCTGATTAATCTAGCTTCTAGTAATTCTTTTATTTGGTTTTTAAATTCTTCTTGATCATCAACACTATATTTCATAAGTTTGACTCTTACTATAGTGTCTGGATTAATTAATTCTATCTTTGCCTTTACTTTGTCTGTATTCCATTTTTCTAAAGGATTTTCAGAATACGTTTTAGAAATTTCTTTTTTCAATTTTTCTAATCTATTTTCTGTTGTCATTTTTAAAACTGTAACTGGTTTAAATTTTTCTGTACTCCAACATCCACCACGCTGGGTTGAGGAACTCTGATAATTTATATCTCTATATGCAATTGTAACAGTTTTATTTATTTTTGGTGTAAATATTTTATGTGCATAAGGTGTTGTGAACATATACTTATCAATATATTGTGTAAATGGTGCATATTTTAGTAGGAAATTTTGTCCTAATAAAATATCACATTCTATTGTGGTTGACATGTATATTGTATCAACAAATACTTCTCTAAAAGAAATTAGAAAAGGTACTTGCGTAGCATACTTGCTATATATTACCTTATTTCCACTTGTTGTTGTAGCAGTGACTATCTTCTTTGAATTGTATTTCCAGTATTCAGATGGTAGTACATTTGGTAAACATAAACTTATTGTACTTCCTGTATCTAAATAAGCATGAAATTTAATTCTACAATAGCCTTTTATATTGAGTGTAATTTCAATAAATGGACTCATGGGATTAGTACTTATTACTCTTTCCATGATAACAATGATTTCATATTTTCATCTATTCTTGGTATAATAATTGGGTTATCATCAACTGTTATTTTTAAATATCATTGACAAATTTTGTAAGGACTATATTTCTCAAGAAAGTTCATTCCTAGTAAAATAGGTGAACGATCTACTCCATATAACTCATCTTTGTATAAAATTATTTCTTTAATACATTCTTTCTGATCCTCTCCTATAAGTATAAGAGGGAATTTAACATATTTTCTTATTTCAAGATTATTTCCCAAATAATCCTTAAATATATATGGTTCTGGTATTTCAAAGTCTATTAGATGATTAACAAACTTGGCATTTACATGGTTTTTATCTGCTCCAGTATCTATGAGGACAAGGAGATTCTTCTTAAATCCTTCTTGGTTTACGTATCTTGTCTTAATGTAATATTGTAAATTTGATGGTTCAGCAATACTTAAATTCTTAAGTCTGCTTATCCTAGAGTCTTGTCTAGAGGGAAATCTTGCAATAAAATTGTCTCCTTCTAAGCTGACGCTATTTCTTCTTATTAATTTTCCTTTAGAATTAATTTCTTTTACTTGTTTATGAAAATCAAGCATTATTTGTTCTGGTATAGTAATTTCATGTTCTTAGTATTTTTTAGGAGATATATATTGTGCTAATTCCTCAAAATCTTTATGTATGATAATGTTATCAGTTATTTTTCTTAGATTGTTATGATGGCTAGTACTAAAAGCAAAAATTGATTTTATGCTTATACTAATAGCCTTACTTCTTCGTAACATTTTTAGGTTTCCAATTCTATAGTATAGATTGGAACTTTGGTTAATATTTTCATCATTTAATGATATCGCATAATTTGGTTTTACTGTAAATATTATCTTTTGATAGACTAAGTTTTCTACAACTGTTCCTAATAGAGCATTTATAGGATCTTGTAAGATTCTATTGTCTATACAATAGATTTTTATTGATATATTCATACCTTCTCTAAAGAATTCTTTTACCATTATCTGGACTCCTCCTAATTCAATACATTTCAATTTATTTCTTACATTCTCTGGGATTTTGGATAATTTTTGTTTTACCCATTCTTTTGTAATTATAGGAATTCTTGCTTTTCCTATAGTATCTTCTATATTGATAGACATTTCTTTATAATTCATACTTACTATTGTTTTATTTACTCTTGGTAAAATTCCTAAGAATCCTTGATGGAATACATCTTTTTCCTGTAAATCTAATATCTTTTTAGTAATTCCTACGTATTTTTTAATATCAAAAGTAATTTCTTGATTGATACCTTCTATAGAATCTTCAACTTCTTCAGTTGTTTCAATTTCTATTTCTGATTGTTGTATCTCCTGATTCATGTATACTATTTCATCATAATCTTCTTCTGATGAGGATGTATCTAATTCATAAATGCTACTACAGTCACTACTTAGATCTTCAAACTATTCAATTGGTTCTATGTCACTATCTTCTTGAAATTTTTCATAAATCCTAAGAGTTTTTATATTTTGTCTATCTTTCTTTTTAGGACATTAAGGGGCAATGTGTCATTCTTCATTACAAATAAAACATCTACATTTTTTAATGTTTCTTGGTTTAAATTTCTTATTCCAATTTATTTTTTTGAAATATTTTTTATGTGGTTTAAAATTCCTTTTATTGAATATTTTATAATTTTTGAATTTTCTTTTGTATTTCTTATATGATTTATATTTCTTCCTATGGCATCCAAATTGTTCAATTTGGCCATTATCCTTTATAACAACATAATGAATTCTTTCTTATTTTATAAATCTTCTTATTTTCTAGTGCTTCTCTGCACTACATACCTATCATTTTTCTTGTAAATTCAATTCTACTTTCAAGACTATCTATTTTAACACCTTCTTCTTCTCCTAGAGGTAGTAATTTCTCATATTCTTTTAATAGCTTAATTCCCCATGGGAATGGTAACTTTGTAAAGTAAGATCTTAATATAGGTTTATTTTCTTGATAATCTCCTTGATTAAGTATATAGTATAATTCTTCAAATTTACAAGTATATCTTTCTAGTTCACACATATCATATATCTTTAGATTTTCTATTGCTATCATTCCTTGATTATATTCATCCCGTTTTCTTTCTTTTTCATTAGAAGTATACCTATCTCCTAAGAATTCTGTTCTTAAAATTTTTTCAAATCTTTTTAATATCTCCTGTATATTTTGTTCATTTAAAGTATTTCTATTATCTAATACCTCAGTTCTATTTGCTCCATATTTTATCATTCCTTTAATAGTTTCTGGTAATTTTCTTCACCATTCAGAAACAATTCATCTGAATGTATGTTTTATAAATCCAAATGCTGTATATGTTTCCCATTTATTAAATTGTATTGCTAGATCTGTACTTTTCATCCATGTTTCTATAACTTTATTTTTATCTACACAGTCTAAGTCTAACCATACTCCTGTCGTGTGAATTGGTTCATTATAAGATTTCATTGGATTTATTTCTTTTATGGATTGTTTTCTTATATTTTCAGTGTATCTTTTTTGTGTTTTTCTATATTGGTTAATACCATCCTTAAGTGGTATTGTAGTACCATAAGGATAATCTTGTTCTTCATCACTACTAAATTCTACTTTTATATTCTGACTTGAAGATGGATTAGTATTCATCTTTATATTTTTCATTTTTTCAGTTAATTCTTCTAACTGTTTTTTATATTCTTCATACTCTTCTCCGGTAGATTCTAAGAATTTTTGTTCTATTTCTTCTACATCTGTTATCATATATTGTCTTTCTTCATGTTTTTTCCCTTTATTTTCTTTTTGTGTTATCCTAAATTCTTGAGGTGGATTAATTATGATCCTATCTTTTCCCTTAAGACTTTTATCTAAAAGAACGTTTCCTACTTGTAGATTATGTTCTAGATTTTCTAATCTTTTATGTATATCTCCAAAATTTTCATTTGTGGTATTTTTAGGCAAATAAGGATAACTAGATTTTTTATGTTTTTCAACTTTTTTCAAAAATTCTTCAATTATATTTTCTTCATTTATTATATTCATCATAATTTTTGGTTCGTAATCTGACTTTCATACCATTTCGTCGGAGTGTGCAGCGGAGGGGTTAAGATTTTTAAGCCAATTAAAATCTTTATAAGTATCTAAAATGTCACAATAAAATTTATAAAATTCACTATTTTTTATTAATACTTTTTCTTTAATGATTTTATTTAATTCTTTAATTCTTCTTTTCAGATTAAGAATTAGTTTATATATCTCATTTTCTATTTTGATTGTATTATTATCTATTGAAACGTTTTTATTTTTTAATTTTGGATCTAAATATTCTGTAAAGAATCATTTCAGTTCTTCTTCTAAATATTTTAATTCATTTTCTGTAGCATTTCTTAGATCAATAAAATTTTCTATAATATTTGAATTTAAATTAATTAAAGATTTTTTGTCTATATTTTCTTGAGGACCTATTTGAAGGCTTTTATACATTGTAGTGGCTTTGGTTGCAATTTTTCTATAAGGGGTATTTTTGGAAGTATGGTTATTTGAAAACTATTTTTCAAATGTTTTCATTTCTTAGTCTATTTTCAAAAAACCTTCCTTTTATTTAGGCTGTTTGGATGTATTTCCCCCCACGTTTTCCTAATGATATATTATTTATTTATTTATTTATTATTATTATATTTATTATTTATTATTTTTCTTCAATTCTGAGTACACCCATAAAGCTGCTGCTGCTTCTTTTTCTTCTCTAACACAGTGAAGAATGTTTTTTTCTTTTCTTTCTTTTTTTTTACTAACACAGTGAAGAATGTTTTTATATTTCTTTAATATCTGATTAAAGGGGCAATCTGGATTTTTCATATCAATTCCATTACAAGACTCGGAGAAAGAGGGAGGGTTTCAGTAACCAGCCATCCAGTAATGGAGCTGAAGAAAGAGAAGCTTGTGAGGTATGTCTTTTTTCTTTTTTTTCGGGTTCTTTACTTTCTATTTTTAATCATTTTAAGAAGTGGCATTAGTAGAAAGAAAGAAAAGTAGTGAAAAAAGAATGTATATTGTTAGAAAGATCTCATTTTAAAACTAAAAAAGCGGATATTGGTATATTGTATCTTAGAAGGGAATAATCTTTCGCTTCTATAAGTTCAATTTTATTGTTTATCGGAAAAAAATGTAGTAAAAGCATAAGGAAAATACTGAACCTTGCGAAATTTCACTTTATGACCTCAAAATCTTAAACTTGAGATTCCAGTCCAGTGAACACACTGAAATTGCAACTTTGTAGATCTGAAATTCCATTTCTGGGGTTTTTTTTGTCGGGTTTTTGGGGGCGATTTAACAAGGAGGTTTCTAATATCTGCTGTTTTGGGGCTTATTAATTGCTTAGGTTTTATTCTGAAGAAAAACAGCAGAAGGGTTTTATGTTATGGGGAGAAAAAGATGGCTCTTCTTCTCTAGAGAAATCATCTTCAGGGTACCAGCTTCCATCCATGTTGAATACTCGTAGGAAATGTAAAATTACTGATTCCCTTAAGTTTGGGAGATCCAAGGTCCACCCTGAGGACCATGAGACATGGCGCACGCGAATACTTGATCCAGGTAGTGAAATTGTGCTGAAATGGAACAAGGTTTTCATTGTTTCTTGCTTGGTGGCGCTCTTTGTCGATCCATTGTATTTTTACTTGCCTAGTATAGGAGGGGTTAAGGATTCTTGGTGCGTGAAATCAGATGTGAGTTTACGGATTGTTGTGACGTTTCTCCGTACAATTGCCGATCTTTTCTATCTGTTACATGTGGTGATTAAGTTCAGGACAGCTTATGTTGCACCCAGTTCACGGGTGTTTGGAAGGGGTGAGCTTGTCAGGAATCCTAAGAAGATTGCCGGGAGATATATAAGATCTGATTTCTTCATTGATCTTATTGCCACACTGCCTCTGCCTCAGGTACTTACTGCTGCAGTTGATCTCTTTTAGGATTCTAGAACTCTACCTAATTATGTGTTTCATGCCTTATGAGCATTTTTCTGATAATTTTTGTTGTTTTAATAATTGAAAATAATTTAGTGTAAGAATAGCCAGCTTTGCTTTACAGATCCCATTACCATGCATGTGTCTCTTTCATTCTGAAGGAATAAAATAATTTATGTGTTGTTTCTACTATATTGCTAATTTAACATCACAGCTCATGTATGGGCAATTTATCTCCTATCGGCTAGTGTATTGCTATTCTAACCCCTGAGGTTCCTTGTCAAAAGTTTCATGGCTGCAGATTGTATCTTAAACAAATAAGAAAAATATTAAATGAATGATTTTTAGTTTACATGAAAATCAGATTTTGATTTTCTGCATATAACTATGTTGCGTGTAGATAACAGTAAGAAGTTTCTAAAGACAGCTTTGTGGCCCTTGAAGTGCCAATAATACATCAAGGTTGTAGGCTTCCAAGTTTGTGTTGATATGAAAGAAAGACGAGTTTGAAGAGTGTAAACTATCTCATTTAAAATCTTAAGCTATTAGAGAGGCGCCATGTATATTTGCTTAAATCTTGTCTTTGATATGCCCCCTTACGTGCAGAAGATTTGATTTTTTATTAAAGATTTGCATGTGCTCAATTTAAATAAATATCTGGCAATGAGGCTTCCGCTCAAGTCTTTTGTGTAGTTCTGATATTACGTTAACCATGTTCATATAAAAATATAAGCTATTAAAGGGGTATTCATTTAAATCTCATCTTCAACAAATGAAGCTACAATAAATCTTGTTTTAATATAAAGACAAGAGGAGGTCAGCTACATTAATCATTTTGCTCCACTATATTGCCAATTGTAGTGGAGGATCTAAAAGAACTAGATCCTCAGCTGTTACAACATACCATATTAGAATTGGTCTGGGCCCTCTCTCCTGACTTGTTTTACAGAGATTATGTAAGATACTGTAGCCTGTTTAGGTCCTCGCAGGACATGGCCTTATACCCAATTCAGTGCACAATAGTTCTTTGGAAGAATGGATCGCTTGCTTAGAGCTGAGTATTTGAGCTATTGATTGTTCATATAGATGATCTTCTTCATTACTTGATCTTGGAAATGCTGACTCTTGCAAGAATGTAACTCTGAGGAGATATTCAAGGAAAGAGTCGACTTATTTTATGATCTTCATTTGTACTTAAACTGTGGTTCTTTAGGCTGATTATATTGTTGGTATCTAAGTGGAGTATGAGAATTCTTTTTCTACACAAATTTTATGCCCCTTCTAGCTTTAATATTTTGTTGAGTTTTGGTGTGCCATATTACTGATATATGCAACACAACCTTCAGATTCGTCTTGATGTTTTGTGGGCTCATTTTATCAAGTTCATTAGTTCAATAAATATAGGTATCTCTGCGGTCTGATGCTTTCTGAGTAATTTCACTGCTTACCAGCTTTTGCTTCATCCCATGGATGGCTCAATTCACTGGTGACCTTTTTCTTCAGTATTTGATGCCATGTGTTACATCAGACTCTGTTAGCTAACTTCTCCTTCAATATAAGGTTCTTCCTCATCGAGGGAGGAGAGTTCCTATTTAAAGTTCTTTCTGTTAGCGGTTGTACTGCATGCTTAATTGCTTATCTGCCTAATTTTATTTTTGTTGTCTCATTCCTTCATTCAGATTGAAACTAACAAAGGTGGTCTTACTTGAAAGCCATTAAGTAGCTAAAGATAACAAACCGCACTCAATGTGCTCTGAGAAATCTCAATGAAAATCTCATGCTAATTTCCGGAACAGTCTAATAAGAGAAGCAAACAATCTCCTGAGATTTTAATGTTTGTTTGGCATTTAGACACACTGTAGACCTGATCAATCTGTTGATATCTATACTTGTTCAACATCAAAAGTAAATAATATCCATGACTTTTAATGCTAATCATTTTTTTTTTCCTGAACCTGAAAGTGGACGTCTTATTTTAGTTATGCTTTTGATATGTGTTATTATGGTTTTTATTTTTATAAATTTTGTGTATTGACTACATATTCTGCAGATTGTCATCTGGTTTATTATACCAGCATCGAGAAGTCATCACAGTCGACGAGCTAATCATAATAACAATGCCCTTGCGCTGATTGTCCTACTACAATATGTTCCCAGGTTATATCTCATTTTCCCATTAAGTTCAGAAATTATTAAAGCAACTGGAGTTGTCACCAAAACTGCTTGGGCTGGGGCTGTTTATAATTTGCTGCTGTACATGTTGGCTAGTCATGTAAGTCACTCTGCTGTGGATTCATTTCTAGGTCTAGAGCATGTCAATTTGGTTACAATATTGTGACATTTGTAAAAAACAACAAGCGTTCCAATAAATTTGGGATGCGGCTAAGATGAATTATCCCCCCCCC